AGGGTGGCGATGATCCCCTTTTTTGTTTCGAGTGGGTGGTTGGAATGAAAATTTAGGTATTGGTCTGTCTGTGTGGGTTTCTTCTCTCTTCACCAGCACATCTAGAAAGGGTATGGCTGCGTTAACTTCCTTTTCCATCGTGAACTTAATTCTTGGGTGTTGCTTGTTCAAGTGTTCCAGTAAAGAATTTGGATCATCCGATGCTTTAATCATTACAAAAGTGTCGTCGACTAGATCAACTACATCATAGGAAACTAATTGGCCCGGGTTTGTAATATTTCTAATTTTGTCGCAAAATTCTTTTGAGTTGCTGATAAACGAGCTGGCTGATTTCCCTAACGGTGATAACAAATTGGTGAGAAACTGGGCTAAATTATAGAAAACGGAATCCCTTGAGCAGACGAGCAGACGGGCTTTCATTGGCGTTTTGTGGATCTTCATCGTAGCTCTAGAGTAGGGAGGCTGTGAGTGAATTGGACGTAATTGGTACAACTGCTGAGAAGAGATTTGATTAAGCTGGTTTAATTCTTTGAGGTGTTCATGCAGTTTTTTTTCCAGTGTGGCTGTAGGATCCTTCCTCAGTTTCCTGTACATCTTCGTGTCAGATAGCACCCTGGCGACTGTGTCTTTATATTCTGTGGTATCCATTAAGACCGTTGCTTTCCCTTTATCAGCCTGGACAATGGTTATAGATTTATGCTGACGCAATTCATCCAGGGCTTCTCTCTGCGATTTGGTGACGTTGTGTCTTTGGGACTTGGTTCCTGATAGTAGGCTGATGATCTGGTGACGATAAGAGTCAATGTGTTCACTTGATTTCTTGCCATTACACTGTCATTACTTACTTGAGAACGACAAGAGGAACTTGTTGAAACGTAATGTGAAATAAACCCAGTGATTGCTTTCCATATAAATTTGTGTTTTATATCATATTTATCATTTGGTGAAATATTCATCAATTCGAATATGATTACATAATATCATTATTTTGGCTTTAAAGTTAAAGGACAATATTGGTGTCAGTCATAATTACATATGTGATAGAACTGGTTAAATACATTCCAAATATAATTTTAACACAGAGATCATTGCTACGGGAGATGTGTAACAAGCACGTGAAGAAAAGGGAAGTGACGCCAAACATGACAAACACGAGTTATCCTTCTATGTATCTGACTGATGTAACGAGCGATAACAGACAAACGATCGAATTTCATTTCACTGATAATTCCGCTGAAGTTGAAAAGTTATTATATGGGACGGTGAGAGGGTATCTCACAGTTCAGAAATAGAATTGGCTGTCACTAGATAAGGGAAAACGAGAAAAATAGAAAAATCCCGTGCATTCCCCCGTTTTTATTCATTCTGTTCTTAATAAAAACGTGATAATGCACGGACTTTTTCTAATTTGTTCGTTATCTTTTATCTAATGACAGCCAATTCTTTTTTTGAATTGTCAGATATCCTCTCACCGTCTCATATAATAGCTTTTCATCTTCAACTGAATTATCAGTGAAATGAAATTCGATCGCGTGTCTGTTATCGCTCGTTGCTTCAATCAGTTATATAGTAGGATAACTCGTGTTTGTCATCACTTCCCGTTTCTTCACGTGCTTGTTACACATCTCCTGTAGCAATGATCTCAAAGTTATATTTGGGATGTATTTAACCAGTTCCATCACATATTTTATAATGACTGACACCAATATTGCCCTTTAAGTTATCTCGGACTGAATTCAAATCACTCATCGTTACATCTGCTTTACAATTATGATTGCTTACGTAAGCCTTCAGATTGGCCACATAAACAGATGCTGGCAACTGTTTATGGTCCTTTAAAAAACGGAATCTGTCACTTTGTTAGCCTAGTTTAGGTACTGATAAGGCTGTATCTCGAGCATATCTTACTTTGATATAATCAAATGATTGTTTCGCCTGTTGTCACAGAATAAGTTTGCTTTTTCCTTGACACTTAGACCCTGTTGCTGCAAAAGCTTCTGTTTCTCGTCCCAAGTTTTCATTACAGCAGGAATTTCATACTTAGCGATTTTAATATATCCTCGGAAGGTACCATACCAGAAGATTGTCATTCGATCAAGTCCTGGGATCTGGCTTGCAATTGCACAGTGGATGCACATTTCAAATTTTTAGCGCATCGTTACATTATCTGATTGCAGGACCCAAATTCAAATATCTCACCCTTCTGGCGTTGAAAACCGGCAGCTAGTTTAAGTAGTAACATAGTGAGGACCATTTCACCTCTGAGCTTGTGCCTTCAATTGCTCTGCAAAGTGACTCTCACATATCTTGGCTGTACTTTCTTTGATCGAAACGTTCTTGAGAAATAAAGCTAAATGCAGGCTGTTTGAATCAGATATTGCTCTGTCAGGAATGGACGCAGAAAAGCCTATAGTGCTCCAATACACAATCTAGATTCGGAATGGGCAATGGGTTTCACAAACTATGAATTCAAGCAGCGAGGCGCTAATTATTTGAAATGTGCATTCACTATGCAATTGCAAGCCAGATCCCAGGACTTGATCGAATAACAATCTTCTGGTATGGTACCTTCCAACGATATAGTAATATCGCTAAGTATGAAATTCCTGCAGTAAAGAAAACGTGGGACGAGAAACAGAAGCTTTTGCAGCAACAGGGTCTAACTGTCAAGGAAATAGCAATCTTATTCCTTGACAAAAGGCGAAACAATCATTTGATTAAACTGAAATAAAGGGTAGTCCTTTCACAAATGAAAAAATGTTGATGAACTTTTGAAAAGTGATTAGACATAGGAGGACAAGCAAAAGCATCTGTATATCCATATAAGTACCTAAACAAAGTAACATTTTCCGTTTATTAAAGGACAATAAAACAAATTGCCAGCATCTATTTATGGGGCCAATTTGAAGGCCTGCCTAAGCAATCTCAGTTGTAAAACAGATGTAACGATGAGTGATTTGAATTCAGTCCGAGATAGCTTAACTTTGCCAAAATAATGATATTATGTAATCGTATTTGAATTGATGAATATTTTAACACATGCTAAATATGTTGTTTGTGGTTTCTTTTTTGTTCGAAATCACCACAAATTCGGATTCTACGCCCTTGAAAACATATTACAAGACTATGTTTGGTCAAAAAGCACAAAATACATATTTGAGGCGCCATTTTGGCCGCCATATTGAATTTCCGCCATATTGGATTCTTGTGGATCATTTTCAATATCATATTCTGACTCGCAGACCACAAAAATTTATATTTGAGCCTGTGAAAGGCATTCTAAACAAACTTGTTAGTGGTGAAATGGCAGAAAAACTGATATTTTGGCTAATTTGAGGTACCCCATTTTGAGGGGGTATGTATATGGGGGTCAGGGGTGTCCGGGGTCAAATGTTTTTCTGTATTATGGATTTTGATACCCCTCCACATATTTTAAGCACCGTACCGCTTGGCTTCCAGAATATTTGTTAAGTAACACACACCCCTATTACCACTAATCAGAATTTGAAACAATGGGTATAGTGGGTTGCCATCTTTGTTTCTACATGGTTCGAGCCATCTGATTGGTTCATTTTTGACTTATTAGGTTTTTTCTGTGGCAGACTAGACAAATGAAGAAAGTTGCTAGGGTTTGCGATGGGTGTAGCTGCTTACTTATACACGAGATTGCAATATCCAGTACATCAACATGAAGCACATAACCTGGTAACTCCAAATCTGGTCCCAATTCAGTTTTGATGAACAATTGAGTTATTAGGTTTTGCCTTCTTTGAACGGGAGTATGTAGGACAAACGAATAGTACATAATATTATGGTAATATTCTGCACATAAAATATTTTTTTTAGCTCACTACCAAGAACTGAGGGTCCATTTGAAGGAAATTCGTCAGTTGAAGAGGTTTATCAAATGGTTATCCCATATTCGGAATCAATATGCCTAAAAGGTTTTAAGTTGTGCCAACTGGGCTTCCATACCATTCGTCAATAATGTATCCTAATAAAACAGGGTATTAATCAAAGACGTTTTGCGTGGTTTGGGCTGTCGGTAACAGAGCATACCTGTCAATAATGATTAACGATAGACACGGTTGTATCTTAGTAAACAAACCCTCAACATAGTTACACTATCCCAGTACTTAGAAATATCTAATGCCATATCTATGCTGGCTTAAAGTCAAAGGAACGCCCATAACCTATAGCTTTATACTGGGAATAATGTGCAACCGAATGTTGGAGTACTGATTCAGAGGGTGGTACTGGAATCTGTCACACATCCCGTCCTATTCGATATTCAATTAACATGTCTTTTGGACCTGGATATAGGATGCGATTTATTTGTTATGCACCGAATTACTGTGTGAGACCTCAAAATAATAATAATAACAATAATTGGGTTTTGAACACACGACCCAATTAATTTGGACGGCTCACACAGAAAATTGTATTCATATAAAACTCCACGCCAACATTATTATCGTTTATAGACAAACTACTTCATATTCTCTAACATGTATTAAAATCACACCAATCGTTAATCACATATCGATTTATCTTTCTCTTATAGCGTGCTCCATTAACTCCATTTCATATTATTCTCACAAGAACTGAACCAATAAAGAAGTGATTATAAAATATAGAAATATTACATAGAGGACTCTAAGAGTTCAGTATATCAGGCAGAAAGGGCTGCATTACTAAGTGCAAAGTATTAAAACGCCTTTAAGTACTTTCATACACGTTTTAGATATTAAGAGTGTGAATCGATAATAGCAGTTTTAAATACCACATGATTGTAAGTGTTTAATTGGGTGATATTTTTATTGTGATTTTATTGATTAGTTAAATTTATAATATGTTTAAAGACAACGGAATCAGTTTCTGTGTGTCGATGTGAGAGTACTTCATGGTTCTAAACCTAATATCTAATTACCGTGTAAACATATTTCACTAGAAAATAAATATGATTAGTGGATATTTCTAGGGTTTATAAATTGGATTACCTGTTTGGTTTCTGAACCATTCTGTATTTTCTTTATAATAGGCCCAGGAACTGGTAGAATTAATGTCACCATCAACACCACAACACTGGAACTGAAAGTTGACAATCTAATTGTGTCATATTGATATCTTCCATCAGTTTCACATCTCAATTTCGACTCAAAGATTGGAATAAAATCCCGTGGAAAACCAAGATTTAAGTTAGCTCGTAAGGGTTTAACGGGCCAATCCCGATAATATTTTGGAGAATAAAACAGCTTTATTTTGCATTAAAATCCTTTAAACTAACTCAATATATGTGATACGTTTTCAAATAACGTAAACCCGTTAGTCGTCATCTGGAAATGGAGACCGGTGTCCCAAGATGTATTATGCGGTGTCCGGATAAAACCAGACTTTTATTTTATAAAAATAATGTGTAGGTAAAATTTACCTTTCGTTATAAAGTGCAGCACATGGGTCATTCACTGTATAGACCACTAAAGGAACGGGAATCGATTATCAGGTCACCCAACGAAAGAAAAAAGCAGTTTGACGTTCACGTCCAAACGACTCAATATTTTGAGCCCGAAATTTGAGACAGGGTAAAATACACCATTCTCTATATTTTGGCGTCTAAATTTCATACGTACTCAGACTTTTATTTTTCAGACTCTGTTCAAATCGGGATAGTCCCTTTAAAGAGACAAATATTTTTAATTTCAAGGACTATGATCGTGGCCTGTGCATGCCATCCTCATTACACGATTCCCGAAATGACATGTGCATGTGCAAGCTAAATTTAAATGATAACTTACTATTTTTTGCATAGAATTCCATGCCTCTGTGACAGATTCCTGTCCATCTAAACCATAGGACGAATTTAATGATCGATATAGTTCTTTTATAGTGTATTCACCTATCTAAAACACACCATCATAACATTTAAATCTGTACCCAATAGTAATCCATTCATGTAATCAAAAATACAGAAAAGAAAGAGGGGACTTAAACGGCTCGTTAACATAACCCATGTTTTGTTTTGAGGTTTACAGTGTCCCTGTTTTATAGTCAATGGTAACGTGTGTAAGTATCTACCTTACTTTGAGCTTGAATTTTCGTCTAATTCGAAAGACTACACATAAATAGAAGTTAATATAAAACATACCAACCACCCTTCCCCAGAATAAACTTTTCAGATTATACCAATACGTCTTAGCATAAACACATCATAAAATAATAAATAATATCCTGTTCAAATTGCCAAATTGGGTTACGAAATGTGATTATCTAAATACATAAAATACGTAAAGTTGTTACATACCTGGTCTTTGAAAGCATAAACTACAGTGCCGCCAACTATTAGACCCAAAAACATTAACAACAGTAATGCGAAAAACTGAAACCAGAATACAAGACATATTACATGTGCATTTATTCCATAAAGGAGTAGAAGGAGTGTGTTATTAGCTGCATATACAATGCTAAAGTGGGCATGACAATTCCTTGACATTGGTGTATCAAACATTTATAGCAGGGCCGGATCCAGGTTATCACTTTTGGAAGATGGGAGATGAGAGATGAGGGAGGGGGGCGGGGTGCTAACTTTAGCATGATTGTCACCAAATAAAGTGTCTCCCGATACACCATTTAATAAAATTTATTTTAAATTATACCCAGAAAGTTGTATTCCTATCATGTTAATTTACTTACTGAGACGAGCATACATTTTACTTCCTTCAAGGCTCCGCAACAACCGAGGAAAGAAAGAACAATGACAACACCGCCAGTTATAATAAGAACTAATGATAATGTGGAATATAAATAGCTTCCTAATATAGATGATACTCGTGATAATCCAGTTTGACTGGTCCTTGTATATATTCCTAATCCCAATAACCCACAACCTGTAATCTGAAATATATAAGGATAACATTAGAATAAGTTGAATATAATCAGATCATCAGATTTTATTAATTTCCATAAATGGATATAACATATAGCATCCGGAAAAGTCACCAAATATTTTGTAAGATAGGTTGCCAGGCAACAAAACATACGCCCACAGCAGCTAAATCGTCCGATCTGTCGTCAAGGGTTGTCGCATATTTATTCCTTTGTAGGTAATTGGGGGCCTTTACAGGGCAGTTCCATACAGATCAGATTATAATTTTTGTCGTTTGAGGGTTTACAAGGTTCTACAAACTGAAACAAGGGTCTCAACTCTGGAAGTAATCTACAGAAATTGATGAAATTTGACAGGCTTTTTCGTTTTACTAATTTAAATAATGCATATATATTTCATACAGATCACATGATCACTTTTGTCATTCAAACGTTCACAATCGCCATAACTCTAGAAATTATTGACAGAAATTGCTGAAATTCAATAGACCTGTTTCACAAATTTAAATGATGCATATAAATTTTATACATATCAGATGATAACTTTCATCAATCGAGCATTAACAAGGTTTAACAAAGTGAAACAAGGACAATAACTCTAGAAGCAATTATTGTAAATTGCTGAAATTCAATGGGCTTTTTCCTTTCACTAATTTAAATCATGCATATAAATTTCACAAAGATCGGGTGATAATTTTTTGCGTTAGAGCGTTCACAAGGATCAATAAAGTGAAACAAGGGTCATAACTCTAGACGTAATCTACAGAAATTGTTGAAATTTGACAGGCTTTTTCATTTTACAAATTTAAATGGTGCATATAAATTTCATACATATCGGATGATAACTTTCATCAATCGGGCATTATCAAGGTTGAACAAAGTGTGAAACAAGGGCAATAACTCTAGACGTAATAAACGGAAATTGTTGAAATTCAATAGGCGTCTTCGTTTCAGTAATCTAAATAATGCATAAAAATTTCACGAAGATCGGATGATAACTTTTGGCGTTAGAGCGTTCACAAGGTTCAATAAAGTGAAACAAGGGGCATAACTCTAGACGTAATAAACGGAAATTGCTGAAATTCAATAGGCTTCTTCGTTTCACTAATTTAAATAATGCAAATAAATTTCAGAAAGATCGGATGATAACTTTTGGAGTTAGAGCGTTCACAAGGTTCAATAAAGTGAAACAAGGGCCATAACTCTAGACGTAATAACAAAATTGTTGAAATTCAATAGGCTTCTTCGTTTCACTAACTTAAATATTGCATATAAATTTCACAAAGATCGTATTTTAACTTTTGGCATTAGATCGTACACAAGGTTCAACAAAGTGAAACAAGGGCCATAACTCTAGACGTAATAAACGGAAATTATTGAAATTAAATATGATTCTTCATCTCACTAATGTAAACAACATATATCAATTTTAAAACAATTGGATGATAACTTTTGGCGTTAGAGCGTTCACAAGAAATTGTGGACGATGGAGGGATGGACCGACGGACGGACGGATGGGGGCGACGGCAATATACGTCCATATTTCATAGTGGGCGTATAAAAAATCAGCCTCGATATTTTCCCAGACAAACATCATGCAATAAAAGAACTGAGCATAAGGGCTAAGTCTAAAATGCTATTTTATATACTAGTTATGCGCGGTAAAACATTTACAGGGGAAATAAGTATTGATCATAAAACTCATCCTCGGTACCCCCAGTGGTCTCACTCTGTGCTACTCCACTCTACCCTAGGTTAATCTATGGGGTAATCACACATTCAATTATCTGTCCTTGATCGTAGCTCGAGTCTGCGAAGCAATCAAAAAATGATAACAAACCGATCTTAGCCGCATCATTTACGTTCACAATAATCCTCGTTCTTTTGTCGAAACAAATGGGTCGATGTCCATTGTAACCTAATTACTAAAAAGAGACTATACTTTCAATTTATGTTATTTGTCAATGACTCGGGTTAGCTATATAAATCACGTGATTTCATTGCAGTCACGGTCGTCCAGCGAATTTCTTATAGCGTGCCAGCTTTATTTCTTTCTTTTTTTTTATAAACAATATTTTATTCAGGATGTCTGAATGGGATTGGGGAACATGCTTAGCCTATGTAAAACCCCTCTCCCTAGATAATATACATACATAATATTAAAACAAAGGAACAAAATGGGTGTATATACACAGTTAAAATGGCAAACACATACATAAATATATGTAAATACATATATGATGAGGCGGATGGCAATATACAATATATATTAAAGGTTACATCATCACGTAAATTTAAAACTAATATTGTAAATTAAAACAATTAATGAGCAAGATTAAAATCTGTTTGACATGTGAATAAACTTGTGGACTTGATTAAAAATATTGATTAAAAACATCGGTACAGTGTTTTGTGGATCCGAACAAGAGATAGTTAATGCTTTTATGATCGTATTGTAATTTGTCTATGGTTTCCCTTCGTGCATTTGAATGTAAGAAGCATTGCAAGAGGTAGTAATGAGGATCTTCAAAAATGTGACCAGCGCATCTTTGCTTTAGTGTGTTACGTTCAATTTGATCGGGAGACGTGTTCGTCGATGTCAACGTCAACCGACAATACTGCAAGAATTGACCGTGGCACTGCAAGAGGAGTGGGTCAGATTGCCCCAAATCGTCATTGGACGGTTGATTAAGCGCATGCCACGACGAACTGCTGAATGTCTGAGGATTGCCGGAGCAATTGCTCATTATTAAGACAAAAATCAAAAACGTCCATTTTCACTTTGACTGTGTATCTCTTTGCGAGTGAAATGGGGCCGTCAGATAAGCCGCCCATATAAACTGTTTATGTTCACGTGTAGGCAATTGGCCTGTTATTAACATATACTTGTTACCTCTAATAAAAACAGCTGTGCATTTCCGCAGTTTTGTATTGTTTCTGAATATCCCCTTCTTTTTTTGAAGAGTATATATTATCGTCGCCCCTGTCCATCCACAATTTTAATCTGCCTTCAACAAATCTTGAAGTTTCTCTCCCTAAGATCTTGGTTCCTTTCGATATTGGTATGTATCGGACCGTAACTTCATGGATTATGACCCGTGATTGTACAAAAAATCATGTTTTTGGCTTGTGGACAATCTAGAGGTCACAATTTTTATCCGATTTTGTTGAAACCTGAAATCTGTGTTTATAACCAACATAACCTTCTGAATTATGGTCACTGATTGTAAGATAAATCTCGTTTTTAGCTCATGGACCCTAAAGAGGTCACAATTTTTATCCGATTTCAAAGTCTGTTTGAATATATCAACGTTCGAATTTCATAAAAATCGGACCACAAAATGGCTGCTCCCCGTACGCAAATAGTGTAACAATATGGTATATCAAGGCCGTGGGCCCATGTTTATAACCAAAAGATCTTGGTTCCTTTCGATATTCATACATATCGGATCGTAACTTCCTGAATTATAGCCCCTGATTTTACGAAAAATCATGCTTTTAGCTTGTGAACCCTATAGAGGTCACAATTTTTATACGCCCACATTTTCATGTGGACGTATATTGTCGTCGCCCCTGTCCATCCTTCCACAATTGTTTGTGGACACTCTACAGGTCACAATTCTTATCCGATTTTGACAAAACTTGAAATATAGGTTTATCTCCCAAGGATCTTGGCTGCTTTCGATATTGGCATGTATCGGATCAAAACTTCATGGATTATGGCCCCTGATTGTACGAAAAATCACGTTTTTAGCCTGTGGACCTTATAGAGGTCACAATTTTGAACCGATTTTGATGAAACTTGAAATGCATGTTTATAACCCAAAGATCTTGGTTCCTGTCAATATTTGCGCATATCGGATTGTAACCTCTAGAATTATGGTCCCTGATTATACGGAAAATTGCCTTTTTATACGCCCACATTTTCATGTGGACGTATATTGTCGTCGCCCCTGTCCGTCCGTATGTCCGCCAGTCCACAATTGTTTATGGACTCTCTACAGGTCACAATTCTTATCCGATTTTGACGAAACTTGAAATCAAAAGATCTCGGCTGCTTTTGATATTGGCATGTATTGGATCGAAACATCATGGATAATGACCCCTGATTGTACGAAAAATCACGTTTTTAGCCTGTGGACCCTATAGAGGTCACAATTTTGAACCGATTTTGATGACACTTGACATGCATGTTTATAACCCAAAGATCTTGGTTCATTTCGATATTTGCGCATATCGGATCGTAACTTCCTGAATTATGGCCCCCGATTTTCCGAAAAAAATCGCCTTTTTTTAGCTTGTGGTCCCTCTGGAGGTCACAATTATTATCCGATTTAAAAAAAGCCGTAAGGAAGGTTGAGTTCGAATTTCGTGAAAATCGGACCAAAATTGCTGGACGAAATGGCCGCCGCTTGTACGCGAATAGTGTAAAAATATGGTATATCAAGGTTGTGGACTCTGTAGAGGTCACAATTTTAATCTGATTTTGATGAAACTTGACATGCATGTTTATAACCCAAAGATCTTGGTTCTTTTCGATATTTGCGCATATCGGAAACTAATTTCCTGAATTATGGCCCCTAATTTTACGAAAAATCGCCCTTTTTAGCTTGTGGTCCCTCTGGAGGTCACAATTATTATCCGATTTTAAAAAAAATCGGGCCAAAACTACCGGACAAAATGGCCGCCGCATGTACGTGAATAGTGTAAAAATATAGTATATCAAGGTTGTGGATCCTGTATAGGTTACAATTTTGATGAAACTTGAAATGCATGTTTATAACCCATCGATCTTGGTTGCTTTCTATATTCATGCATATCGGATCGTAACTTCCTGAATTATGGCCCCTGATTGTACTGAAAATAACGTTTTTAACTTGTGTTCCCTCTAGAGGTCGCAATTTTTATCCGATTTAAAAAAAACATTCGAAAATATCACCATTACACCGTAATGTTGATCGAGTTCGAAATTCGTGAAAATTGAACCAAAACTGCCAGACAAAATGGCC